TGCTTTTACATCCTTTTTGACTTTGATGGAATAGATTTGATGAAAGTTTTATGTGCCCGGAGTTAATTTATAAAAAAATGTAGATCTGTCCCATGCAGTACTTTTTTCTGCCAGTAGATGTCCTCAGCCCTTCAGGTTGAATTACGAACAACATCCTTTGACCCAGGTCCTCTGAGCCCAGACCATAATGGATCCGCCCCCAGCCTGTGATTGGACAGTGATAGGAGAGGCAGGACATTGATGGGCTCATTACATTACATTGATGATTGCTGAGACACATACACAGCCCTCACCAATCACTGTAATGTGTCTAATATGCATATTTCCCCTGGCAGTGAGCACCACCTAGTGGTCTTGAAATACTGCAATTAGGAAAACGCCGCATTATGACCACTGGGTGGAGCTGATGCCCATAGGAAATATACGTATTAGTGCAGCAAAAGTGTGGTAAACGCCTATGTGTTTTTGCGGCGGATCAGTGTGAAAGTAGCCTAAGTGTCATTTCTGTCCGCTGCTCCTTCCTCTGGTATCAGCATGAGCCACTTCTGACACGCACAGACATACTATGCAGAGAGATACAAAGCAGCATATCCTTGCTGACAGGGGAGAGACCTGTGTTGTTTACATGCAGACCTCTCCCCTGTCAGCTTTACACTGCGGATGCCAAGTGCCGGCGGGGAATTGCTGGCTGGGACCCGGTGATTGACATCTCTAGCTACCAATAGCGGCGCGGGTGGGGCGACATGCGCACAAACCCTAACCCAGAAATGCAAATCATGTACAGTCAGGTCCATAAATATTGGGACATCGACACAATTCTAACATTTTTGGCTCTATACACCACCACAATGGATTTGAAATGAAACAAACAAGATGTGCTTTAACTGCAGACTGTCAGCTTTAATTTGAGGGTATTTACATCCAAATCAGGTGAACGGTGTAGGAATTACAACAGTTTGCATATGTGCCTCCCACTTGTTAAGGGACCAAAAGTAATGGGACAGAATAATAATCCTAAATCAAACTTTCACTTTTTAATACTTGGTTGCAAATCCTTTGCAGTCAATGACAGCCTGAAGTGTGGAACGCATAGACATCAGCAGACCCTGGGTGTCATCCCTGGTGATGCTCTGCCAGGCCTTTACTGCAACTGTCTTCAGTTCCTGCTTGTTCTTGGGGCATTTTCCCTTCAGTTTTGTCTTCAGCAAGTGAAATGCTCAATCGGATTCAGGTCAGGTGATGGACTTGGCCATTACAGAACATTCCACTTCTTTGGTGTCTTTTGCAGTCTGCTTTGGGTCATTGTCCATCTGCACTGTGAAGCGTCCAATGAGTTGTGAAGCATTTGGCTGAATATGAGCCGATAATATTCCCGAAACACTTCACAATTCATCCGGCTGCTTCTGTCAGCAGTGACATCATCAATAAATACAAGAGAAGCAGTTCCATTGGCAGCCATACATGCCCACGCCATGACACTACCACCACCATGATCACTGATGAGGTGGTATGCTGAGGACCATGAGCAGTTCCTTCTCCATACTCTTCTCTTCCCATCACTCTGGTACAAGTTGATGTCGGTCTCATCTCTCCATAGGATGTTGTTCCAGAACTGTGAAGGCTTTTTTACATGTCGTTTGGCAAACTCTAATCTGGCCTTCCTGTTTTTGAGGCTCACCAATGGTTTCCATCTTGTGGTGAACCCTCTGTATTCACTCTGGTGAAGTCTTCTCCTGATTGTTGACTTTGACACACATACACCTACCTCCTGGAGGGTGTTCTTGATCTGGCCAACTGTTGTGAAGGGTGTTTTCTTCACCAGGGAAAGAATTCTTCGCTCATCCACCACAGTTGTTTTCCGTGGTCTTCCGGGTCTTTTGGTGTTGCTGAGCTCACCGGTGCGTTCCTTCTTTTTAAGAATGTTCCAAACAGTTGTTTTGGCCACGCCTAATGTTTTTGCTATCTCTCTGATGGGTTTGTTTTGTTTTTTTTCAGCCTAATGATGGCTTCACTGATAGTGACAGCTCTTTGGATCTCATCTTGAGAGTTGACAGCAACAGATTCCAAATGCAAATAGCAGACTTGAAATGAACTCTGGACCTTTTATCTGCTCATTGTAATTGGGATAATGAGGGAATAACACACACCTGGCCATGGAACAGCTGAGAAGCCAATTGTCCCATTACTTTTGGTCCCTTAACAAGTGTGAGGCACATATGCAAACTGTTGTCATTCCTACACCGTTCACCTGATTTGGATGTAAATACCCTCAAATTAAAGCTGACAGTCTGCAGTTAAAGCACATCTTGTTCATTTCATTTCAAATCCATTGTGGTGGTGTATAGAGCCAAAAATGTTAGAATTGTGTCCATGTCCCAATATTTATGGACCTGACTGTAGATATGCGTGATTTTGAGCAGCCCAGCTGCCCTGTAGCACTATATAGGGCGGAGGACAAGCGGTATTCTCTTTTAAAGTGATTGTAAAGCTCAGACATGAAATATGAACAAAGCACATCCCTCTATAGTGTGTACTTGTCTCAGTCCAGAGCACTAAGTGTCATTATTGATAGTCATTCATAGATTGTAAGCTCGAAAGAGCAGGGCCCTCGATCCCCTCATTGTTTTGCATTGTATTGTTGTTGTTCTGTCACATGTTCTGTCCCCCTCTGTAATGTACAGCGCTGAGCGAACTATTGGCGCTTTATAAATACTGTATAATAATAATAATTATTGTCTGTTGCCTCCTTCCTCGGCTATCAGCATGAGTCAGTTCTGACAAGTTCTCCTGACACCTAAGAAAAAATGGTGACGGGAGAGGGTGCTCCAGCACACAGCCTGTGATTGACAGCCTCAGCTCTGTTCCTGTGTGCTGTGTGGAGGGGGCGGGGGTCCCTTCCCTCCAATCAGCTCTCGGAGCTCTCCTCACTTAGTGTAACTTTTGCTTTCCGCCCCCTTATTTCAATACCTCAGACAAACTTTATAAATTCCACACTTTAAACTGATATAGGGGAGAGAGGCTGCAGATAAACTAGTGCAACTAATGTAAGGAGGATTTGTGCCGTCTCTGGGTATCACCTGAGGGCGGTCTCCTCACTGGGGATATGGAGGGTCTACAACCACTTTAAGGTAAAAAAAAAAACCCTTCTCCCTGAACTGCTTTAAGTAATTTTCATGCAAAATGGCCATTTTAGCGATTTGTGTGAAAAAAAATGTAAAAAGTTCTAGCAGCATAAGGGTTAAAAACAAACAAACAAATAATGACCCTCCCCCTTCTGGGTTTGCTGTGTTGACATCGTGGCACATTGTATCATTTTTTGTTATACAATGTATCCGAGCGAAGATGCAAATATTTCTTGCAGGTCAGAAAAGAAACGATTTCCGGTGGGGGGGGGGGGGGGGTCCGTGTCTCCGGTCCGTGTCTCCGAGGTCCGTGTCTCCGAGGTCCGTGTCTCCGGCGGTGAAGACACCTCAGTCTTACGAACAGCATCCTTTGACCCAGGTCCTCTGAGCCCGGACTATAATGGATCCGCCCCCAGCCTGTGATTGGACAGTGATAGGAGAGGCAGCACAGTGATGGGCTCATTACATTACATTGATGATTGCTGAGACTGATGCCCACATACACGCGCCCTCACCGATAATCACTGTAATGTGTCTAATATGCGGATTTCCTCTGGCAGTGAGCACCACCTAGTGGTCCTGAAATACTGCAATTAGGGAAATGCCCCTGCATTATGACCACTAGGTGGAGCTGATGCCCATAGGAAATACACGTGTTAGTGCAGCAAAAGTGCGGTAAATGCCTATGCAGGGGCGGACTGACCATTTTGAAACTCAGGCACTGCCCGAGGGCCCGGGGTCAGTAGGGGACCCCATGCGATGCCCCTGGTACCTTTTTCATAGGCTTTTTTGAGTTTGGGCAAGGACACAGGGGCCCCATGATCCCCTATTGCCCGGGGGCCCCCATGAGTTGTCAGTCCGCCCCTGTGCCTATGTGTTTCTGGGCAGATCAGACACTTGCACAGCCCTCACCAATAATCAGTGTAATGTGTTTAATATGTGGATTTCCCCTGGCAGTGAGCACCACCTAGTGGCCACAATGTAGCATTTTCCTGAAACACAGCAATTAGGAAAATGCTGCATTATGACCACTAGGTGGAGCTGATGCTCATAGGAAATACACGTGTTAGCGCTGCAAAAGTGCAGTAAATGCCTATGTGTGTTTTTGCGGCGGATAGGACACTTGCATGGCCCTCACAATAATCACTGTAATGTGTTTAATATGTGGATTTCCTCTGGCAGTGAGCACCACCTAGTGGTCACAATGTAGCGTTTTCCTGAAATCCCGCTATTAGGAAAATGCAGCATTATGACCACTAGGTGGAGCTGATGCTCATAGGAAATTAACACATTATGGCGGCTATTCTTGAGGGCTGCAGCAAGTTTTCTATAACTAGACCCCATAATGTGCGGGTCACGTTACCGCAACGCAGTGGGGGAAAAAAAATGTGTTTCACCTTCTAATCCTGTCCTGAAAGGTGGGATAATGGGGTCTGACACGGTCGTTTCCAATCCCTCTTCATCCCGTGTGGTTATTGTATCCGCACAATGCGCTGCAGGATTTTCGCCGCTTTCACGGTCGCCGTTGACTCATAATTGCTTTGAGGCTTCATAAAGGAAATGTGAGCTTTCGGGATGCTATTAGTAAATCTCATCTAGTGGCGGATATTAGGCGTCATTTGTCCCGTGGTAATGGCTCCTCTTCTCCCCGGCGCGGTCCTGCCTGGCAGAGGTGACTTCATTATGGTAATGTAGCGCTGCTAGAGCCCATTCGCGTCGCTGCGCTGCCTTCAGAAGACGCACGTGATGATGGCGGCTCACAATCTTGCAGAATCCACTCGCCTGGTAATTGAAGTCTGAAGGCTTGCCCTCAAGTCTCAGCGCTGGAGATCTGCGGCACGTGTTAGCGCTGCCAGTGACACCTTTGTAAGGCTAGGCTCAGACCTTACAAATTGGGCGCTTTCTTGGCATGCAGGGAAACGCACTGCCCTTAGCGGACGCCTGGCAGCGCCGACGCACACAGTTTGTGTTGGCGCGGTGCGTTTTTGGAAAAGAGTCAGGGGCTTCTTCCATGTGTTTGGGCAGCCCATTGAAAACGCAAGGATAGTGCATGCGCTCGGTCGCATCTGCAGGACTGTGAAAAACATTTCCCGCACTCTGAACAAGGGTACGGCTGCTCCCTCTTGTATTATCACTGGTATATATAAAAATAGGACTTACGTGAAAAACATTTCCCGCACTCTGAACAAGGGTACAGCTGCTCCCTCTTGTATTATCACTGGTGTATATAAAAATAGGACTTACATGAAAAACATTTCCCGCACTCTGAACAAGGGTATGGCTGCTCCCTCTTGTATTATCACTGGTGTATATAAAAATAGGACTTATATGAAAAACATTTCCCGCACTCTGAACAAGGGTATGGCTGCTCCCTCTTGTATTATCACTGGTATATATAAAATTCCAACTTTTGTGGTTTGTCCAACCATGCTCTCTGTCTTTGGAGAAGCAAGGAGGTACAAGGGTACCGCCCTGGGAGTTCTGGCACGGAGGCCTTCATTAACGCAAGTGTGCGTCATTATAGTCCTGTGCTGAAAGGTCTGTACTCACATCTGATGTCTCTTTTCTCAGTATGGCACACAGGTGTCTGCTCTTCATCAACGCTCAGTAGCGCACAGCAGTCGAAGCGTCAGCATCTTCAATATCTCCAACCATGAAGCGACTTCAACATGAATGCCATGGGCCCAAAACATTTCTTGGTATGTTTAAACATCTTGTGCAGAACTTCAAGCCATTGCGCCTTCCAAAAAACTCAACCATGTTTTGGAACTGACACCAGTAAAATGTCCTTGAGTATCACAGTCATTTTACAACAAATTGCTGCTTCATCCAACAGTGTTTTCCAATACATATACTTTTTAAAGGGGTTGAAAAATTGGTGGCATCCCATGTATCCACAACTTTGATGTGACTGGCATTGGGGTTGACATAATCTTTGGTCATAACTGTCTTGGGGAACAAGGGTTTCTATAGAGATTTCCCGAACTTCTGTTATGCCTAGACAAGGTACTTTCTTTGCCGCACTCAATTTGCGAATGATCAGCTAGTCCCCCCAACGTGGGACATCTCTCTGGTATGTTCTATAGAGATTGGAACTTTCTCAGAACTTTCAATGTCAGCCTTCCTTTGTTTGCCACGTGAGGGGTGAGGCGGCTCCAGGTTACTCTCTTCTGGGGAATTCCTTGCACTCGACGTTCCCCTCACACAATGAGTGGATTTGCAGGGGGGGTTCACCCAGCCATTTCCTCGTGTTCCAGCTTATGCCACGGTCCGGTGTGCAGGAGAAGAGAGCCGGAGTCTCCTTGCTCCAAGAAACGCTGGCCGGCTCCTCTGCCTCCCGAGCTCCCTTTGTGGCAGATCACCTGATCGCCCGACGTCCACATGAGCTCCGAGGAACACACTGCGCGGGGCCGAGAGCACAGGAAGACCCGCCACGATGGCCGCCACTCCGGAGGTCTCGGTCCACGCAACCCGCCACGTAAGCCCCCCTCTCCCCGGCTAGTCTCTCCTGGTACTTCCCCCGCACATCTCTGGTCGCCTCTTCTCGCAGGGACACTGGAGGTGCTTGGAGCCGGGCAACCCTGCAGGAACTGAACAAGTCTAAGATGGGCCCATCCCCCCAAACGCCTGTCCTTACATAAAAATCCCACGGAGGCTTTTGCCAAAGTTTCACATCCTTGAAAAAACTGTTCTCAATCTTTTTAAATCTGAGCTTTCATTTAAATAATCTCTGACAAACCTGCCACTAAAGTCCCGCATTCAGGCACTTCCTGTAATGGGAGCGACAATAGACTGCCTCCAAATTAGTGCTCTGTGTAGTCATCCTGTCACATGCACTTCTAATGGAGACTAACAGGGTGGGCGGCTGCACCAAACTCACATTGTATAGGCTTGATCCACTGTTGTCACACTCCCCCTTCCCATCACAACTACCCCTATATATCTGCACCCCTCCCCTATTATATCAGTGTCCTCAGCCCCTCCCCACCCCTTTACGTAACAACCCCCCTTCCCCTTTCACTTCACAGCCCTCCTTGCTTGTGTCAGTGGGAGAAATAGTGCCCCCATCATTGGTGTTCAGTGGGAGGAATTAGTGCCCCCATCATTGGTAGCATGAGGGGAGTGAATAGTGCACATCATTTCTGGGGCCGTCAGTGGGAGGAATAGTGTCCCATCATTGGTATCATGGGAGGAATAGTGCCCCCATCATTGGTGTCTGTGGGAGGAATAGTTGGTCCATCATTGGGTTGTCCGTGGGAGGAATAGTGCCCCCATCTCCTTGGTAGTGTCATGGGAGAATTAGTGCCCCATCTCTGGCCTGGTGTCAGTGGAGGAATAGTGCCCCATCATTGGTGTCAGTGGGAGGAATAGTCGATGTCCATCATTGGTGTCAGTGGGAGGAATAGTGGTCCCCATCACGATGCTGTCAGTGGAGGAATAGTGTCCATCATTGGTGTCAGTGGGAGCATAGTGCCCCATCTGTTCGTATCAGTGGGAGGAATAGTGCCCATTATTCCTCTGTCAGTGGGAGGAATAGTGCTCCATAATGGTGTCAGTGGGTGGAATTAGTGTGCCCCATTATTGTGTCAGTTGGAGGATGCATAGTGCCCATCATAATGGTGTCCAGTGGGAGGGAATAGATAGCTCACATCATTTCTCAGTGTCAGTGGGAGGAATAGTGCCCCATCATTGGTAAATCAGTGGGGAGGAAATAGTGCCCCATCATTGGTGTCAGTGGAGGAATAGTGCTCCATCATGGTGTCAGTGGTCCTCAGGAACCAGTGCTCCCATCATTGGTATCAGTGGGGGTAGTCATCTTAGTGCATGCATCATTGGTGTCAGTGGGGGAATAGTGCCCCATCATTGGTGTCAGTGGGAGGAATAGTGCCCCATCATTGGTGTCAGTGGGAGGAATAGTGGTCCATCATTGGTGTCAGTGGGATGAATAGTGTCCCATCCTCCCAACTTGGTATCAGTGGGAGGAATTGTGCCCCATCATTGGAGTGTGTCAGTGGGAGGAATTGTGCCCCATCATTGGTGTCAGAGTGGGAGGAATAGTGCCCTATCATTGGTGTCAGTGGGAGGAATAGTGCTCCATCATTGGTGTCAGTGGAAAGAATAGTTGCCCCATCATTGGTGTCAGTGGGAGGAATAGTGCCCCTCATTGGTATCAGTGGGAGGGAATAGTTGCCCATCATTGGTGTCAGTGGGAGGAATAGCGCCCATCATTGGTGTCAGTGGGAGGAATAGTGTGTCCATCATTGGTGTCAGTGGGAGGAATTAGTGCCCCCATCATTGGTGTCAGTGGGAGGAATAGTTACCCATCAATTGGTGTCAGTGGGAGGAATAGTTACCCATCATTGGTGTCAGTGGGGAGGAATAGTTGCCCCATCATTGGTTCAGGGAGAATATGTCAGTGGGAGGAATAGTGCCCCATCATTGGTGTCAGTGGGAGGAATAGTGCCCTATCAGTGGTGTCAGTGGGAGGAAATAGTGCCCCATCATTGGTGTCAGTGGGAGGAATAGTGCCCCATCATTGGTGTCAGTGGGAGAATAGTGCCCCATCATTGGTGTCAGTGGGGGAATAGTGCCCCATCATTGGTATCAGTGGGAGTGAATAGCGCCCCATCATTGGTGTCAGTGGGAGGAATAGCGCCCCATCATTGGTATCAGTGGGAGGAATAGTGTCCCATCATTGGTGTCAGTGGGAGGAATAGTTGCCCATCGTTGTATCAGTGGGAGGAATAGTGCCCCATTATTGGTGTCAGTGGGAGGAATAGTGCTCCATAATTGGTGTCAGTGGGAGGAATAGTGCCCCATTATTGGTGTCAGTTGGAGGAATAGTGCTCCATCATTGGTGTCAGTGGAGGAGATAGTGCCCATCAATTGGTGTCAGTGGGAGGAATAGTGCCCATCATTGGTGTCAGTGGGAGGAATAGTGCTCCTCATTGGTGTCAGTGGGAGGAAAACAGTGCTCCATCATTGGTATCAGTGGGGGGGGAATAGTGCCCCATCATTGGTGTCAGTGGGAGGGAAATAGTGCCCCAATCATTGGTGTCAGTGGGAGAATAGTGGTCCATCATTGGTGTCAGTGGGAGATGAATAGTGTCCCATCATTGGTATCAGTGGGCGAGGAATAGTGCCCCATCATTGGTGTCAGTGGGGAGGAATTGTGCCCCATCATTGGTGTCAGTGGGGAGGAAAATAGTGCCCTATTATAGGTGTCAGTGGGAGGAATAGTGCCCCATCATTGGTGTCAGTGGGAAGAATTGTGCCCCATCATTGGTGTCAGTGGGAGGAATAGTGCCCCCATCATTGGTATCAGTGGGGAGGAATAGTGCCCCATCATTGGTGTCAGTGGGAGGAATAGTGCCCCATCATTGGTATCAGTGGGAGGAATAGCGTCCCCCATCATTGGTGTCAGTGGGAGGAATAGTGCCCCATCATTGGTGTCAGTGGAGGAATAGTGGTCCCATCATTGGTGTCAGTGGGAGGAATAGTTAGCCCATCATTGGTGTCAGTGGGAGGAATAGTGCCCCATCATATGGTGTCAGTGGGAGGAATAGTGCCCTCATTATTGGTGTCAGTGGTGCAGGAATAGTGCCTCCATCATTATTGGGTTCAGTGGAGTAGAATAGTGCTCCCATCATTTGGGTCAGTGGGAGGAATAGTGCCCATCCATTGGTGTCAGTGGGAGGAATAGTGCCCCATCATTGGTGTTTCAGTGGGGGAATAGTGCCCCATCAACTGGTGGTCAGTGGGAGGCACATAGTGCCCCATCATTTGTATCAGCTGGGAGGAATAGCGCCCCATGATTGGGTGTCAGTGGGAGGAATAGCGCCCCCATCATTGGTTATCAGTGGGAGGAATAGTGAGTGCCCATCATGGTGTCAGTGGGAAGATTAGTTACCCATCATTGGTGTCAGTGGTATGAATAGTGCCCCATCATTGGTGTCAGTGGGAGGAATAGTTACCCATCATTGGTGTCAGTGGGAGGAATAGTGCCCCATCAATGGTGTCAGTGGGAGGAATAGTGCCCCCTATTTGTCAGTGGGAGGGATAGTTTACCTATCATTGGTTGTCAGTGGGAGGAATAGATGCCCATTCATTGGTGTCAGCTAGGGAGGAATAGATTACCCATCATTGGTGTCCAGTGGCTTTAATGTGCCCAATTGGTGTCGGTGGAGGAATAGTGCCAATCTTGGTAATCAAGATGTTACCCACATTGTCAGTGGGAGGAATAGTGCCCCATCATTGGTGTCAGTGGGAGGAATAGTGCCCCATCATTATGGTTGTAGTGGGAGGGAATAGTACCCTCATCATTGGTGTCAGTGGGAGGGAATAGTGCCCCATCATTGGTGTTCAAAATGGCAGCAAGTGTAAATACTACAGCTGATTGGACAGCTGCGAAGGGGTCATTCGGGGCTTCTGGAGGACCTCTTTGCTGTTCCAGCGCAGTCCATCCCTTGTTGCACCAGATAGGGTTTGCGATCTAAAAAAACAGGCGAAAAATATATTATTGCAACTGCTTGTAAAGTAAATGGTACGGGGGGAGTAAATACCCATCCCCGCCCCCCCCCCACCCCAAAAAAAATATAGATTTTTTTTTTTCCAAGTAAATTGTCACAAATTTATTCCAGCATACTCCGTGAGTAGGTGAATACATGGAATACATGAATGTGCGCCTCGTATCATCTTCAGTGCGCATATCTCACGACGAGAAACAAAGTAACATTGTTTATAAACATCGATCAGAGGGAGATAGAGAGATACAAAGTAACATTGTTTATAAACATCGATCAGACGGGAGATAGAGAGATACAAAGTAACATTGTTTTATAAACATCGATCAGACGGGAGATAGAGAGATACAAAGTAACATTGTTTATAAACATCGATCAGACGGGAGATGGAGAGATACAAAGTAACATTGTTTATAAACATCGATCAGACGGGAGATAGAGAGATACAAAGTAACATTGTTTATAAACATCGATCAGACGGGAGATAGAGAGATACAAAGTAACATTGTTTATAAACATCGATCAGACGGGAGATAGAGAGATACAAAGTAACATTGTTTATAAACATCGATCAGACGGAGATAGAGAGATACAAAGTAACATTGTTTATAAACATCGATCAGACGGGAGATGATAGAGAGATACAAAGTAACATTGTTTATAAACATCGATCAGACGGGAGATAGAGAGATACAAAGTAACATTGTTTATAAACATCGATCAGACGGGAGATAGAGAGATACAAAGTAACATTGTTTATAAACATCGATCAGACGGGAGATAGAGAGATACAAAGTAACATTGTTTAAAACATCGATCAGACGGGAGATAGAGAGATACAAAGTAACATTGTTTATAAACATCGATCAGACGGGAGATAGAGAGATACAAAAGTAACATTGTTTATAAACATCGATCAGACGGGAGATAGAGAGATACAAAGTAACATTGTTTTTATAAACATCGATCAGACGGGAGATAGAGAGATACAAAGTAACATTGTTTATAAACATCGATCAGACGGGAGATAGAGAGATACAAAGTAACATTGTTTATAAACATCGATCAGACGGGAGATAGAGAGATACAAAGTAACATTGTTTATAAACATCGATCAGACGGGAGATAGAGAGATACAAAGTAACATTGTTTATAAACATCGATCAGACGGGAGATAGAGAGATACAAAGTAACATTGTTTATAAACATCGATCAGACGGGAGATAGAGATATACAAAGTAACATTGTTTATAAACATCGATCAGACGGGAGATAGAGAGACAAAGTAACATTGTTTATAAACATCGATCAGACGGGAGATAGAGAGATACAAAGTAACATTGTTTATAAACATCGATCAGACGGGAGATAGAGAGATACAAAGTAACATTGTTTTTAAAAACATCGATCAGACGGGAGATAGAGAGATACAAAGTAACATTGTTTATAAACATCGATCAGACGGGAGATAGAGAGATACAAAGTAACATTGTTTATAAACATCGATCAGACGGGAGATATAGAGATACAAAGTAACATTGTTTATAAACATCGATCAGACGGGAGATAGAGAGATACAAAGTAACATTGTTTACATTGTTTATAAACATCGATCAGACGGGAGATAGAGAGATACAAAGTAACATTGTTTATAAAACATCGATCAGACGGGAGATAGAGAGATACAAAGTAACATTGTTTATAAACATCGATCAGACGGGAGATAGAGAGATACAAAGTAACATTGTTTATAAAACATCGATCAGACGGGGAGATAGAGAGATACAAAGTAACACATTGTTTATAAACATCGATCAGACGGGAGGAGAGAGATACAAAGTAACATTGTTTATAAACATCGATCAGACGGGATATAGAGAGATACAAAGTAACATTGTTTATAAACATCGATCAGACGGGAGATAGAGAGATACAAAGTAACATTGTTTATAAACATCGATCAGATCAGACGGGAGATAGAGAGATATCAAAGTAACATTGTTTTTATAAACATCGAAGATAAGAGTAAAAGTAACATTGTTTATAAAACATCGATCAGACGGGAGATAGAGATACAAAGTAACATTGTTTATAAACATCGATCAGACGGGAGATAGAGAGATACAAAGTAACATTGTTTATAAACATCGATCAGACGGGAGATAGAGAGATACAAAGTAACATTGTTTATAAACATCGATCAGACGGGAGATAGAGAGATACAAAGTAACATTGTTTATAAACATCGATCAGACGGGAGATAGAGAGATACAAAGTAACATTGTTTATAAACATCGATCAGACGGGAGATAGAGAGAGATACAAAGTAACATTGTTTATAAACATCGATCAGACGGGAGATAGAGAGATACAAAGTAACATTGTTTATAAACATCATCAGACGGGAGATAGAGAGATACAAAGTAACATTGTTTATAAACATCGATCAGACAGGGGAGATAGAGAGATACAAAGTAACATTGTTTATAAACATCGATCAGACGGGAGATAGAGAGATACAAAGTAACATTGTTTATAAACATCGATCAGAGACGGAGATAGAGAGATACAAAGTAACATTGTTTATAAAAACATCGATCAGACGGGAGATAGAGAGATACAAAGTAACATTGTTTATAAACATCGATCAGACGGGGAGATAGAGAGATACAAAGTAAACATTGTTTATAAAAAAATCGATCAGACGGGAGATAGAGATACAAAGTAACATTGTTTATAAACATCGATCAGACGGGAGATAGAGAGATACAAAGTAACATTGTTTATAAACATCGATCGATCAGATACAAAGTAACATTGTTTATAAACATCGATCAGACGGGGAGATGGAGAGATACAAAGTAACATTGTTTATAAACATCAACGATCAGATAAACATCGGAGGGAGATAGAGAGATACAAAGTAACATTGTTTATAAACATCGATCAGACGGGAGATAGAGAGATACAAAGTAACATTGTTTATAAACATCGATCAGACGGGAGATAGAGAGATACAAAGTAACATTGTTTATAAACATCGATCAGACGGGAGATAGAGAGATACAAAGTAACATTGTTTATAAAACATCGATCAGACGGGAGATAGAGATACAAAGTAACATTGTTTATAAACATCGATCAGACGGGAGATAGAGAGAGATACAAAGTAACATTGTTTATAAACATCGATCAGACGGGAGATAGAGAGATACAAAGTAACATTGTTTATAAACATCGATCAGACGGGAGATAGAGAGATACAAAGTAACATTGTTTATAAAACATCGATCAGACGGGAGATAGAGAGATACAAAGTAACATTGTTTATAAAACATCGATCAGACGGGAGATAGAGAGAGATACAAAGTAAACATTGTTTATAAACATCGATCAGACGGGAGATAGAGAGATACAAAGTAACATTGTTTATAAACATCGATCAGACGGGAGATAGAGAGATACAAAGTAACATTGTTTATAAACATCGATCAGACGGGAGAGATAGAGAGATACAAAGTAACATTGTTTATAAACATCGATCAGACGGGGAGATAGAGATACAAAAGTAACATTGTTTATAAACATCGATCAGACGGGATAGATAGAGATACAAAGTAACATTGTTTATAAACATCGATCAGACGGGAGATAGAGAGATACAAAGTAACATTGTTTATAAACATCGATCAGACGGGAGATAGAGAGATATACAAAGTAACATTGTTTATAAACATCGATCAGACGGGAGATAGAGAGATACAAAGTAACATTGTTTATAAACATCGATCAGACGGGAGATAGAGAGATACAAAGTAACATTGTTTATAAACATCGATCAGACGGGAGATAGAGAGATACAAAGTAACATTGTTTATAAACATCGATCAGACGGGAGATAGAGAGATACAAAGTAACATTGTTTATAAACATCGATCAGACGGGAGATAGAGAGATACAAAGTAACATTGTTTATAAACATCGATCAGACGGGAGATGGAGAGATACAAAGTAACATTGTTTATAAACATCGATCAGACGGAGAGAGAGAGATACAAAGTAACATTGTTTATAAACACATCGATCAGACGGGAGATAGAGAGATACAAAGTAACATTGTTTATAAACATCGATCAGACGGGAGATAGAGAGATACAAAGTAACATTGTTTATAAACATCGATCAGACGGGAGATAGAGAGATACAAAGTAACATTGTTTATAAACATCGATCAGACGGGAGATAGAGAGATACAAAGTAACATTGTTTATAAACATCGATCAGACGGGAGATAGAGAGAGATACAAAGTAACATTGTTTATAAAACATCGATCAGACGGGAGATAGAGAGATACAAAGTTAACATTGTTTATAAACATCGATCAGACGGGAGATAGAGAGATACAAAGTAACATTGTTTATAAACATCGATCAGACGGGAGATAGA